TGCAACCAAGAGAAGCAATCGACATTGCTTAGATAGTTCATGGAATGACACATTAGCAGGGAATATTCAGTTCAAAGGACTAAATGTTGACAGCAGCTAGTGATGGAACAGTCCTTTCATGTTTTTCAGTCTAGTGGAAAATACCATTGACAAAGTCACTTGAAATTGATGGATTAAAACACTTATGAGAAGCAAAAGAAGGTAAAATATTAATTTTGGCAGGAGAGAGGGTTTAGAAAGGCATTTCTCATTTCTATTTTTGGTATTCACTGAGCAAACTGATCAGTTTATACCTGACTGGCCAGTTTAACAACTATGAATGCAGTCTCTAGACCACAAGTGTCAAACACAAGGCCCGCGGGCCAAATCCGTCCCGCCAGGCCTTGCAATGTGGCCCGCACCGCGCTGTCATCACTGCACTCCGCTGCGTTTCCATCACAGTGACAGTTTATGACTGTTCAGTAAACCATTCGGCCCGCGATTTAGGCTGGATTTTAGATTTTGGCCCCTTCTCTGATTGAGTTCGACACCCCTACTCTAGACACTGAGTTAAGAGTGTGAAATTTAGTTCTACAGCTAAATTTAAATTATACCCCCCTTCCCCCTCACATGTAGACTGGTCATAAAATATCATACATCTGCAATGACCAGCTTTTTAAAATATTCAAATCACAAAAAAGTAATTTGAAGTTCTTGTCCCCTGGAATGATTCTAATGAAATAGAGAAAAGCACAAGTTATTTTTTTAGGAAGAAAGTTTGACCATATTTTTCTCCTGAAATGATCTTTTTTTTCTGACTGTAAAAGGTAATGTATGTAATGCCAGTATAGATGGTGCTATTAATTCATGCTAGTGCACATCTGTTCTCTTCCAAAAACAAAGATTGATAAAATTCAGAAAGAGAACACCAAAAAAAGACATCTAGAGGCTAAAGGGAAGAGAAAAGCGGTGGGAAAGGAGGGACCCGAGAGGAGGGGAAATAAAGATTCTCTAAGACTCAAGCCTGGAGACAGGGGCCCACTGTGTTCCAAGACTGGAAAAAGGCAGGCAGCAGTGGTTGGAATGTCAGCTCCTACTGGGGTCTGGGGTCTCAAAGTGTTCCTTGGAGATAGATGATTCAGCTTTACTTCCAGAAACGGCACCAAACTGTCTCTGGTCGAGTGTAATATTATCACATACCAGGAGATCCAAGCCATCCAAAGTAGACCTGGTTCTTGCTTGACTAGGGGCCAGGGAGCTGTGCAAACCATTAGACTGGCAGGGAAGAGCGCAGGAAAGAATGAAAGAAAACAATGGCACAAACAAATACACAAAAAACAGTTTCCTATAAAAATAAACTGCAATTCCAAATTTAAAAACTCATGCACATTAATATTAACATAGGTAACTAAATCAACAACCTACAGAATTGGACAAGATGATATTGACAAATCTCAGGCTGATGATTTGAACAAAGCTCTATCAGAGAATGACAGATCAGAAACAAGACTGTAAGGACTATAAATGATTTGAACAACGTCATTTTGTTCTTGGTCATGGAAAGTCAGTGGGAAAAGCCTCTTTTGGAAACCACTTTCCTCCCTAATTAAAAGAAAGACATGTGAAAAGAACTTTCCCTTTCTTCTTCTCCTGATATATAGTTATCTGAGGACATGATGCCTGGAGCTACGCCAGTGTGAAAGTTCTTTTCACGTGTCATTCTCTGATAGAGCTTTGTTCAAATCATCAGCCTGAGATTGTGAGAGTTAAGAGCCAGCTGGTGAAGGCAGACCACTGAGACAAACGCAGGAAAATGATGGAGCCTGGTTCTTGATTATATCATCTGACTGCTGCATAATCCCTAGAACTGAGAAAGTCATTCTAACATGGAAGTAAAGCTGTTCTTAAAAAATAAACAAAAACAAAACCAAAAAAAACTGGACAACAACCATGAAGCACTATCAAAAAGAAAGATTGATAAATGTAATGCATTGAAGTTAAAATACTCCATGTAACCAGGATACCTATTGCGAGAAGCACATGAGCCCTGAATGCATAGTCTTCCTGTTGTGCCCACACTGCAAGGCCCCAATCTCTTTATATATGGTTCCTTTCATAGGATTGTGTTCATAGTGGACAAATCGGAGAGATGAGGTAATATCTCTCTCCACACAGCAGGCATGATACCACTCAATGGGAAAGGGGTGGATTCTCAGCCCAATATTCCTCTTTGTAAATGCAACCCATTGCAGGTCAGGCATCTGTTGCCCCTGTGGCACTTGGGGGAGATGGGGTGCCAGGACAATTATAATGGCTTATAATGTAAGTTTATATTTGTTTCTACAAGTATATGACCCATCATTTTTAGCCATTCAATACTCAATACTAGTCTCATTTATTATGTCTTCTTCATCACTTGCTTGGCTGGATTTCAATATCTCATATTTTTTCGAGAAGGACAGCATGGAACTGTATTTGCTAAACTCTTTTTTGCTAATTTAAAAATGTCTACTGTGGCCTACATAATTGAATAGAAATTTGATTGGATTTAAAATTGTGGAGTCACATTTTCTTTCCGTGGGGACTTTGTAGCTATTGCTACATTTTCTCCTAGCTGGTACAAGAAAGTCTAACACCAAAATAAATTCCTTCTACTCGGTGACTTGATTCTTTTGTCTGGGTGCCATGTTTTGATTATCTTTGAAGTCCAAGCAGCAGCCTTGGCAAAATATCTCCACAGCTTCTAAAAAGGAGCTGAGCAGATTAGTCTCCTCTTTTTGCATATAGTTCACTTTATCCCCAGACCCTGACCCTCTGAATGAAAAAGAAAAGTTCATTCTCATATTGAGGGCAGGGTGTGGGGTGGCGGACAAAGAGAAGAAATGATGGGGAATGAATTTCTGTTCTGATCCTCACAACTGCAGTCAGAATGTTCCACTGTGAGAGTTAAAAGGTCTTTTAAACTTGCAGTAATATATCAACACCTTTATGCTTATATTATCTAATCTAGTGTTTTTTACCCCCTCCACACTCTGTAGCATAAAGCTACTGCTGTCACTAGTGCTATTGACTCCAGCACTTTCCATATCAATTTCTGTCATCTGTACTTTTTCTTTGATTTGGGAAAGAGCAAGACCATAGTATAACTCATCCAAGTAAATATGTTTTTATTGATTTCAGAGAAAAAGGGAGAGGGAGAAAGAGATAGAAACATCATGATGAGAGAGAATCATCCATCAGCTACCTCCTAAACTCCTCCCACTAGGGATCCATCCTGCAACCTGGGCATGTGCCCTGACTGAGAATCGAAAATGAGCTCCTGGTCAACACCCAACCACTAAGCCACGCCGGCCGGGCCATCCATGTTAGAAGATTGGCAAGAATGACCCCCTTAAGCTGGTTTAAATCACTTCCATGTCCGTTTATAACTGAACTAGCAAACAGTGAGCTTGTCCTTGTCCGGATTTTCCCTGGCCCCTCAGCCTCTTGCCTTCACAGGGACTTAACAGTGACTCAGGGAATCCCACTCCTTCCTGCCTTTGCTTACTGAGAGATCACAACCTGCCAGGCACCAAGGAGCACCCACCCATGCCCATTCTTTTCAGGGGCTTAGAGTCTGAGGACGGAGACTCTAGCAAGTCATTCAACTGTCTAAGCCTTATATTCTCATCTATAAAATGAGGGTGATAATAGCACCTATCTCATCAGGATGCAGTGAGGATTCAATGAACTCAGGTGCTTCAAAAAGCAACCAGAAGCACTCCATAAATATGGACTGGGGTATGTGCACGTGTGCGCACGCGCGTGCCTGTGTACCAGGGTTCCACTGAGTTTTACACAGTCGCAGGTACTTGCAAGACTACTATTGGTATAAATCACACCTGCTGAAATAGGAAAACCCCAACTCTGCTAAAATATGGGGGAACATTCCTAAACAATTTAAACATATGAATTTTAAAGACGTGATGTTGTAAGTTTTACAATACTAATTAAGTCTCCAAAATTTGCCTCAAGTTTTTATTTTTTATTTTTTTTATTTGTGAAACACAAACTGAAAGGAAAAAACAATAACCTTTTCTAGGTTAAGTACAGTCAAGTATCATTCATGGAGGTATGAAAACAGAATTGCTAGACAATGCTTGGTCTTTGAAGGGAGTTTTCAGCGAAGATATTAAATTGCTGCTAAGGGGTTAGACATTTAACTTTCAGGAAGGGATATTGATGACGATCATTATTTTCAATATTGTTGTGTATTCAACCAGCAGATTTCCCCTAAAGAGCCACAGGGCTTCACAGAACCTGAAATCTGGGGTGTAGCAGCTTTAGCCTTTGACCTAGCTTGATGCTGGCTTTGGAGTAACAGGAGCCCCTGCGGTGAAGAGGAAATGAGCTTCCTCCATCTGACTGGGCATTCTGTGCAAGTGTCCAGAGGTCCAAGGCAGCAATCAAAGAGAACTGCACGTCAGAAGCAACAAGACAAACCTCTGCTGTACCTACCGCCCAGGCTGGCTGAGGCTGGTCACCCCTCTCAGCTCAGTGCCAACTGTGTGGGCTCCAAGAGCCAAGGGCACCGCTTTTCCGGTGTTAGTTTGCTCCCTCCTCCCAGTAAAGGACCTTGGAGCATTGTGTGGACTGCAATCCATGCCCATCAGCACTGGGGCCTTGTTGGGTGAATGTGAAGCGAGACCAGCACCTGAGTTTGTCTTCCATTCAGCTCTGTGAGACTGGGCCAACCATTCAATCCCTTAGTTACCTCATCTGTAAACACATGAAACTGAGATACATGTCACCAAGGTCCCTATCAACGTAACAGTCTGTGTTTCTAAGGTGACAGCAAAACAAGACTGAAAACACATGTAAAACATAAAAGACTTTAATTGTATAAAAAGTCACCACGTAATCAAAAGAGTCATGAGAAGGGTGGTTCCAGGCCCAATTTCACACACTTACTAACAAATAAACTGAACTTCATTGCATTCCCGCAGTCTCCAATTCTACATGACAGAAAAAAGATGGCTTACTGGTGACTCGATATCCTCGAGGAGTAAAACAGAACAGCGCTCGCATTTCAGCAGAGTTTGGGCCCGATGCATTATTTTCTTGACAATTTTCTCCAGGTCAGTCTGTTCCTCAAAGAGGTCATTAACCACCTCTAGCAAAGCCTAGGAAAGACAAAAGGGATGTATTTAGATGGAAACATGAGAGATTAAAAGGTTGTTATTTTGTTTCTTTCACAAAATTCACTTAGCCTTTGCTATAACCTATACTAATAATAGCCGAGGGCTGTCATGAGCAGGTGGACCACCGGTCACCAGGAAGTGCATGGAGCATCTCTGGGTCCCGCCCCCATGGACCCTGGGTTCCTATCACAGCAAGGCTGGCAGCCCAGTCGGCATGGTGAAGCAGGCACAGAGAGTAGGGCCTGGCTGCCAGGCACCAGGCGAGCAAGCCAGCAGGCCCACAGACACCAGGGCCTGCCAGCTGCAGCACGCTGGCAATCCCACCTCTGCGCGAGAGCTACAGAGGAAATACCTTTTCTGGCTAAGCTCCCTGTATGCTGCTCGCAGTGTTCTTGGTAACTTGGGTAATAAGAATCCAAGAAGGTGATCTAAGGTTTTGCCACCACATTCCTAGAGGAAAAAACTAAGGTCCTCTGCTGGAGGAGCTAAGAAATGTCAAATACTGTCATAGCCAGTTTTGCTCAGTGGATAGAGCCTCGGCTTGCTGACCACAGGATCTGGGTTTGATTCTGGTCAAGGGCATGTGCCTAGGTTGCAGGCTCCTCCCTGGCCAGAGCCCAGGTCAGGGCTCATGCAGGAGGCAACCAATCGAAGTGCCCCTCTCACACTCTGTCTTTCCCTCTCTCTTCCACGCTCTCAATGGGAAAAATCCTCGGAGGAGGGAAGGAAGGAAGGAAGGAAGGAAGGAAGGAAGGAAGGAAGGAAGGAAGGAAGGAAGGAAGGAAGGAAGGAAGGAGGGAGGGAAGGAGGGAGGGAGGGAAGGAGGGAGGGAGGGAGGGAGGGAGGGAGGGAGGAAGAAAATTCATATCCTATGTAAGAGACATCTTGAAAATGCCTAAAGAAAGTTGTCATTTTTTTGTGTGGTGAAGGGACTGGAATTGTGTTAATGAAAATACCTTGGTGGCTATGGTGGTTGGCAGTGGCAGCAGGATCAGGGTGATGGGGTGGCACCATTCCCTGATCAACCTGGTCACCTCCTACCACCGGCTTGAGCCTAAACAGTCAGTAGGATATCCCCTGAGGGCTTCCGGATTGGAGAGAGTACAGGTTGGGCTGAGGGACACTCCCCCCCACCCAATGCATGAATTTTGTGCACTGGGCCGCTAGTAAAATATAAATATTCTTGTGTGGCTAATTTTTAAAATGTTAATGACTATTTTGACATATTTCCATAATTTTGTTTTATAACAGAGTCTTGAACTGCAAAATACAACTTGAAAATAGTGCCAGCCTATAATCCCACATATCCCATATGGCTAATGACTACATGACTCATATAGTCATTATTACAGGCTTGCTCTCCACCCCCACACAGTAGTTTTTCTGCAGTGCAACTAGGTGTATACCCAACATTTTATAAGTAACAAATACCTGATTCTCTTCAGAGCACATTTATTTTAGAAAATTACAAAGCAGCTCTTCCCCCCATCAGGAAGAAATAGCTTCATGGTCAAACTTGAGACTTATTTTCGCTAATACACATCTCTCACAGAAGTCTGAAAGAATTATAGTGGTGAATGCTAATTAGGTTTCAGAGTCTTCCAAAAATATATATAAAACCCCCATTAATCTTTCTGCACAAGAAGTATTGCTTCATCTCAGTTTGTCCAGAAAAATATTTAAATACTATATATATCAGGAAAGAAAACACCATTAAAGTTTAAAACAGGAGAATAAAAGGGAAAATAAACAAAAAATTTCTAACTTAAAAATTGTGTACTCATTTAATAAAAACAAATGTTAGCTTTAAAAAAGTGAATGGTTTTTCTACTCATTGCAAAAGCAAGTTGTAATAACCTGTTATTTTATCCAGCTAAATTTGCTTGCAATTTTTGCACTGAAATAATAGTTGTTTTTCATTACATGGATGTTTCCAGAGGTTTAAGAATAGTGGGCTATGTACAGGTGAAGATATTATGCTGCTATCCAAGAGCAATCAGAAAATTACACAGCCAGTGAATTGGCCATAGGGTGGTTTATTCAATAGAATTTAATAAGATGTGCTCTCTCAAGTATGATCTCTCACAAGAGGATTTCATGGGTTTTTAAATTCGCATCTATTCAGGGAGATGGTGTTGACCATCATCCTAGGGACGTGACTGATTTCCAACTTTCATAATAAATTTGATTTGTCCTGAAACCATTTGAAAATTTCTTCTCTCAGTCTATTCAGGTAGAAAAGCATTTGAATGAGTTAATAGATCCATGAAATGAGTCTAGTTCACTGAGTATCTAAAAGAGGACCAAATATCCTAGGTATTGGTTTCTCTAAAGAGAGCTTATGGAAATTGCTGAAGATTGCTCTATGATCCCAAAGCAAAGAGATAGAGCAGGAGGTGAAAAAAATTTTTAAATGCATCTTGACTATCTGGCATTTAGACAGGAAGTTACCATAGAGGTCAATGTGCGATAATTTCATATTCAAATACAACATTAAAGATGAGGCAATTGTCTGAATAATTACCAACAGAAATTCCCTGTTATTAAGGAGGAAACATTATTTCTTTAATCATCCAGACTATTTCTACAGATGGATCATATTAACGGAACAATTATTTAACTTTTCAATTTGTTTTGACTGCATAGATAGGCCCTCTGGGACCCATACACAAGAACATTTATTTCAGAGGAAAAACTCATTCTGCCTTGAGTCTTGCACTGACAAATCACATTATAGCAACTTTATTGTTTCTAATTAAAAATTGCTGCTGTACTAACAAGTAATAAAAGTTTTTCAAATAACAATGCAGTCTACCTCCAGAATAAGAGAAAGAGAAGAAAACCTGGATGACACACTATTCAATAGACACTGGGAACCTTTCACACAGTTGAACACTCCCTGCTTCCTGACTTCATAGGCATTTCCCCCTCCTTTTTCTGGTGGCTTTCTTTTGCTCCTGGCCTCACCCTTGGATCTCTTCCTTTCTCCTTTTTCTTTAATCTTCACCCAAAGATATTTTCCCATTGATTTTGAGAGAGAGTGGAAGAGAGAGGGAAAGTCAGAGAGAACTATCAATGTGAGATAAACACATCGGTTGGTAGCCTCCCGCACGCACCCTGACTGGGGCCCAGTCCTAGGAGGAGCCTGCAACCAAGGTACGTGACCTGGACCAGAATCCAAACCAGGATCCTTCAGTCCACAGGCCAACACTCTATCCACTGAGTCAAACCAGCCAGGGCTCTTCCCTTCTCTTATCCATAAGTTCTCCCCCAGATTAACCTTCCTGATGGCCTAGTTTTAAATACTATCTATATGCTGATTACTCAACTGTTTGCTTGAGAGCTGTACAAACCAGTCAATTTTCAGTCATTTCCCATGTCATTAAGCATTGTATATTTCACCATTAATTTTGGGGGGAATCTCTCACTTCTCATTGACCGAGTCCTAGCTACAGTATTTTTTTTTTCAGTTTTATTGAGATATAATTAACATATTACTTTCTATAAGTTAAAGGTATACCACATGATGATATGATACATGTATACTATATTTCAAAATGCTTACTACAATAAGGTTAGTTAACATTATGCATAGCGTCACATAATTAAATTTTTTGTGTGTGGCGAGAACATTTACTCTTTTAGCAACTTTCAAGTATATAAGTATAGTTACCATGCTGAATATTAGGGCCCCAGAATTTATTCATCTTATAATGGAAAGTTTGTACACTCTGTCAAGAGTCTTTCCATTTGCTTCACACCCCAACCCTGGCAACCACCTCTCTACTCTCTGTTTCTTTGTGTTCTGCTTCTCCTTGATCCAACATGTAGGTGAGATCATACAGTATCTGACTTTCTCTGACTTATTTCACTTAGCACAGTGCCTTCAAGGTCCATCCATGTTATCACAAACGGCAGGATTTCCTTTTTTTTTTTATGGCTGAATGATATTCTATTGTGCATATGCTAGTATACACCATAATTTCTTTATGCACTCATTCACCACTGAACACTTCGTTTGTTTCTATAGATGGGCTATTTTGAGTAGTGCTGCAATGAACATGCAGATATCTCTTCAAGGTAATAATATCATATCCTTTGGATACATACCCAGCAGATTACATGGAAGTTCAATTTTTTAACTTTGTGAAAAACCTCCATACTGTTTTCCATGGTGTACAAGAATTCCATTTTTCCACATCCTCACCAACACTTGCTATTTCCTGTCTTCTTTTTAAAAGTCATTTTAATAGGTGTGAGGCGATACCTCATTTTGGTTTTGATTTGCATTTCCCTGGTAATTAGTGATGATGAGCATTGTGTCATGTACCTGTTGACCATTTGTATGTCTTCTCTGGGGGGAAAATGTTCAGGTTCTCTGCCCATTTGTAATTGGATTATTTTGGGGTTTTGCTATTGGATTTTATATTTTTGAATATTAACCTCTTATCTGATATAAATGGTTTGCAAATATTTTCTCCCATTCCATAGGCTGTGTTTTCATTGTTTTTATTGTTTCTTTTGCTGTGCAGAAGTTTTTTAGCTTGATGTAGCTTCATTTGTTTATTCTTGCTTTTGTTGCTTGTGCTTTTGTGTCAAATTAAAAAAAAAATCGCTGGAGCTTTCCCCCTCATTTTCTTCTAGGATTTTAAAAATTTCAGGTCTTACATTTATATCTTTAATCTATTTTAATTTAACTTTTGTGATAAGATAGGGCTCCAATTTCATTCTTTTGCATGTGAATATTCAGTTTTCAATCAACATCGTTTATTGTGAAAAATCTTTTCACCAGTAAGTAATCTTGGCTTTTTGTCAAATATATATTGACTATATAGACAAGGATTTATTCCTAGGCTCTGGATTCTATTCCACTGGTCTTGCTATCTGTTTTTGATGCCATACCATACTGTTTTGATTACTATAGCCTCATAGTATAGTTTGAAATCAGGAAGTGTGATACCCCCAGCTTTGCTCTTTTTCAGAATTGCTTTGGCTATTTGAGGTTTTTCCTTTCTGTCTCTGGACACACAGACTAAGAATTCTCCTGCCCCAGGGCCTTTGAATTTAATATTTCTACTGCCTGAAATGCTTTTCCCAGATCTTTGTGTGGCTTTGCTCTTTCATTTCATTCAGGTCCCCGCTTAAATATTATTTTCTTATACAGACCTTCTTAATCACTCTCTGGAACAAACATTCTCTCAAATTGTCCTTCAGCGACCAGTCTCTATCCCTTTATCTCACTTCATTTTTCTTTATAGCTTTTCTATTGTCTATTGTTCCCACTAGAAAGGCAATTTCTCTGAGGGCAGGGACTTTGAACAGATAGTGTCTGAAGAGCACCACATAATAAATATTTGTTGAATGAGTAAATAAGCTGTGCTGTACATGAGGATGTAGAGATTAATAATACATGAAGCATCCCTTAAGGAGTTCAAAATGTATCGGGTCTAGTAATAATTAATGTCGTTTTTAAATATTCATTTAAAATCTTGCTTGGCGTTGACTTGTATTGACATAACCTTCAAACATGTGGTATGTACAGAACGTGTGAAGTGCAATTAACAAGTTTTGCTTGAAAAAGTTTGTGTTTGGTTTGGTTTTTGTTGCAAAACTAGGGCTAAGAAGATGGCGGTGCTCTTGGTCAAGATGCAGTTAGTGCCAGAAAATGCCAGCGTTGGTTTGAGAAATTTCGCAAGGGAAATTTTTCGTTAGGTGACAAGAGTGGTCGAGGCCGTGTGTCCAATTTTGATCAAGAAGCTCTTCAAGCTCTTTTGGTGCAAAATCCTCAAATTACCCAACAAGAGCTTGCGACAACTTTAACTTGTTCACAAAAAACAATTTCCAATCAATTGCGTGCACTTGGCAAAGTCCAAAAGTTTGGAAAATGGGTTCCTCATGAGTTGACTGACAACAACCGCAATCAAAGAGTCACAATTTGCAGTTCGCTCCTCTCTCGTCAAAACCGTTTGCCGTTTTTAGAGCAAATTGTTGCCGGAGATGAAAAATGGGTGCTGTATGTTAATTTGAAAAGGCGGCCTCAATGGTTGGACAAAAATGAGGCTCCGCAGCCCACGCCAAAACCTGACTTGCATGCGAAAAAAGTGATGTTGTGTGTTTGGTGGAATTTTAAAGGAATTCTTCATTATGAACTTTTACCATCTAACCAAACCATTACAAGTGCAGTGTATAGTTCCCAATTGGAAAGGTTAGCCCAAGGTCTAAGAGAAAAAGAACCCGCGCTGATTAATCGGAAGGGCGAAATTCTTCACCACGATAACGCACGACCGCATACTGCAAGAATCACTGCTGAAAAACTGTGCCAGTTGGAATGGGAAGTTCTCCCTCAACCTGCATATTCTCCTGATATTGCCCCTTCCGATTACCATTTGTTTCGTTCTTTGCAAAACTTTCTTCTTGGAAAAAAATTTAATAATGAAGAATGCCTCAAAAATGCATTGACCAAATTTTTTGCATCAAAATCACAAGAATTTTACAACGGAGGGATTAAAATGCTTCCTGAGCATTGGGAACAAGTAGTAGAAAACAATGGCAACTATATTGTTGATTAAATTTTGTTGTATTGTTTAAATAAATTCGATTTTAAAAAGTATTAGAAAACGACATCAATTATTACTAGACCTAATAGTTGGAGAGGGGGGGTCATCAATTAATAATGTACAGTATGGTAAGAATCCATAATAGACCAATGGCAGTAAACACTAGGAAAAACAAACAAAAAAAGGAAGATTAACTAGAAGTCTGAGCTGGATACTGAAGGAAATTCAAGGCAAATGGTAGTGGGAGTCAAAAGGTGGATATTAAGGCACTGAATGTAGAGGGAGAAATATGGGTAAAGATATGAGAAAGTGAAGCAAATAGATAGTTTTCTGGAAAACAGGGACTATATTGTTGGAGTGCCACATGAAAAGAAGGGAATGGTAAGACACGGGGCTAATGATGAAATAAGGATCCAAATCACAGAAAAGGTGTGGTATGTTATGCTGAAGAAGATTACTGTAATAGTGAAATGTGTTTATTTGTGTACTATGGAATATTCATCAATCATAATGATTAGCAAATGGAACTTTCAATCAATTTGACTATTGATTAATTGAGGGTTTCCAACCTTTGGGAACATCTTCTTGTTAAATATATTTTCAAGTTGTGACAGTAATTTCCTTATATTTAAAAATATAATGAGCCTAATATAATGTAACCCCTCTTTGATAGTTTATTTTTTGAGCATCTGTCTTTTCTTACCTATTAAACTCTATAACTGGTAAAGAAGGTATACGAGATCAATCCCTCTGTGTGTGTTTCTTTATAATACTACTAGAGGCCCATGCACAAATTTGTGCATGGGTGGGATCTGGTCAGCCCACCCCAATGGGGGCCTATCACTGGAAGGGTCACAGTGGTTGGCTGCAAGCCCGCCCCCAATTGGGGTATTGGGTGTTGTGGGGTCGAACCCTGGGTTCAAAATAAGACCACCAGAGGCTGATGATTGATTAAAAAAAGCAGGCAAGGATTTATTGAAATATCTGGCCAGGACAGATGTGAGAGCACCACACGCAGGTGGACTCCACACAACTGCACTGATCAGGGGTAGGCAGTCCCTTTTAAAGGTTCAAACCACAGGAATTTTCCTTTGTTCTAAATTCTAAAACCTAAAGTCTACATTCTAAAGGCTGGGTTCAGTCCGCAGGGTCGTCGCTTAGTCATATCCTGCTGGACATTGGAATGTGGCTCTATCTTATGATAGCCAATAACACAGAAGCAGAGCTCAGAGGTTATCTACAGTTTCTATCTCTGAAGGTTACTGAGTTAGTGGTAATTAATCTCCTGTGGTCCTGGTCCCAGGCAAGGAAAAAATGCCTTAGCCTCCAGGTCTTCACCTGAAAGCTAAGGTAAATAGCTTTTTTTTTTTTTTCCATGTTTAATCAGGTCCAAGAGCCAAACTAGAAGGGTTAAAATTCAAACAGCAGTTTTTACCAAAATATGGTTGCCACTATATTTCATTGGGGGCCGATCGGGGCCCAGATCAGGCTGATTGGCTGCTATAGTGCACATCATAGCCACCAGTAGTTCCAGTCCCCGGGCTTTGAGATATATATAATAGTGTTTGCATGTTGTCCAGTTATCTTGTGATGGTCTGCCAGAAAGCCTTTCAATTCAAAAACAAAATCTGTGAAATGGGGTGAAATTATTTATAATATTCCTTGTTTCTTAAAGAAATTAAATTATAAAAATGTTACTAAATTGTGTTATTGTTTCAGACCTACAAGTAAGCAAGACTATACTGTATGATAGTATAGATGTAAAATTAATTTCCTTCTTAAAATAATCTGGTACTATTTCTTGCATAAAAAAACAACAGAGAATTTGTATCCACTTCTGTTTGAGCCCATTGCTTAAAGGGGTCTTCAACCATAGACTTGTAGGATTATAGAAATAAAAAAGATTCCTAGAAAGTTCAAATGTCATCTGAGATGAATGACTCACAGATTCTTGAAAACAGATAGCTTTGAGGGTTGTGAACCAAATTTCTTTCTACTCACCCTACTTCTTTCATATTCTTTCCTGGACGCAGCAAATACCTGAGCATTAGATATGGCGATTCCACAGAATGGAAGATACATCTGCATAACCTGGGAGCAAAGAGAGTTAAGAGCATTGAAACATCACTGAACCAGATTCCGAATTTCCTGCATATACCTAATTGTAATACTTTCTTTTCCACCATAGAGACTGAGTATGGCATTATTGATACTGGTAACTTCAGAAGGCATTATTTTTCAGTTAACTATAAGATGGTCTCAATCGAGCTGTAAGTAAGGACAATCACATCTAAGATGACCTTAAGGGAAGCTACACATTATATGATGGCTATGAGATAAGAACTGTGTTTAAGTCATCTTTATCTTCCTTCTTTGAACGAGAAATGAATAAACTCTGATATATCTAGAATTTAAGGCTCACACTCAAATTTAAAGGTAGGCAGAATATTAGTCCATTCTTTGTGCCTATGTATCTGTAGCAGGGAATCTCAGCTTGATCCTAAAGCTCTGTCAAGTCCAGACACAAATATTCCTGTTAGGATTGGACCAGTAAGAACTTAGGGGCCAGAGAACCTACTAGCCTCATGCAAAAGAGACTAAACTGTGTGCACTACTCTGCGGACATAACTGGACATGAATGCAAATTGGTGGGATGGTCCTACAGAAGTCTATTTGGAAAAAAAAAAAGTCTGGGAATTCTTTAAGAGAGCACTCCTTCTACAGGAAGAAACAGGTATGATGGACCTGATCCTAACAAATCTTTCTCATCACAAGGTGTCTGTCTAAAGATTTTTAGTACTGCCTGGTATTCACATGCAAATTCAATTCCACAATCTCTAATTCCAGAGGAAAAGAGAATGCCCCATGTAAAAACCTAAAGCATTATCTCCCTAAACTCTACATAAAGTAGGATATTGTGACAAGTGATATATCTTTGGGACTTCTCTAAAGCAGAGGGATAAGGGCATGTTTTATATTATATTTTCTCTGTCTCTCTCTCTCACTGTCTTTCTCTGTCTCTCTCTCTGTCTTTCTCTGTCTCTCTGTCTCTCTCTCTCTCTCTGTCTCTCTCTCTCTCTCTCTCTCTCTCTCTCTCTCTCTCTCTCTCTCTCACACACACACACACACACACACACACACACCACCACCACCACCACCACCACCACCACCACATGCCCTGCAAAAATATAGAGAGCAGTGCTCACAGTTGTGGGGAGGGATGAGAACAGCAGGAGCAGATCTGCCCATGGACACACACATATGCATGTCTGAGACACCCCTGGGACACCGAGAACATAATTATTTGGAGTGAAAGATGATGAAGGGAAATTCAATAAAAACCTTGCTTTGGCTACTTGGGCATATTCAACTCTGACCTTGGGTCCCCAAAAGTATTTCCAAATGATGTAGAAGCTAATACTGTGACCCCAATTTTAAAGAAGAGAGAAAAATAGTAGGATTGGTATTAAGTAGAGGTATAAAATACATGGTTTCATTGTTGCAGATATTTTTCAGGATAAATTCCTTCAAAGTAAACCAATATTCAATGAGGACTTTCTTTATGCCAGATACTCTCACTTCATTTCTTCATTTGAATTGCACATCAATTCCCCACGGAGGAGCATTTTACAGATTGGGAAACTCAGTAACTTGGCTCAAACTCACACAGAAACTCAGGCTCATCTAATTTTACAACTGATGTTCCTTCCTACAACATGTTGCCTTTGAGAACTAAATGTTATTTCTGTCACCCTCTCCTTCCCTTCCTTACTACTCATGACTTAAGAAGTTTGTCAATAAACCATTACTAAGCTCTCAACATAAAGCTGCCAGATACTCTGCCAGAATTCCCCTGCCTTGGCCAGAATGAGACTATTTTCAACATCACCTACACATTCAGACAGCATTTTCTTGCAGTTTTCTGGGGGGTTTTTCTCTCTGTAGTAGAGAGATTGACAATGATGGAAGTGGAAACATGGGTTATTTTAACTTTCCATCTTTTCTTCCTTTCTGTATTTATTTGTCTTCAGGGGCTAAATTTAAGGTGGATTTTATAAGTCAGGTACATAGAAAGAAGGCAATGATCTAATAGACATGTGAAACACTTTCTATTATAATATATCACAGGCTTGCTTTAATTCGTTTGTAATACCACTTTTTTTTTTATTAGCTACAAGCATTGTGTATTAGCTACAAGCATTGTGTATAATTATAAAGAATCTGACTTTTAAATCAGATGACCATTGTCCTTTATTTGGCTGTTCTGTGAGAAAGTCAACAAATCACTCAACCTCTCTGAACTTACTTCTTTATCTGTCAAATTCCTGGTTTAACTGAATAATCTTTCTGGTCCTTTTTGTTTTAATATTTGGAGATTCTAATAATTAGAAACATCAACGAACTACAATATTCTATTTGCTAGAGAAAACAAATAATTCAATGAACTTGCTCATATCTTATTCAAGATAATCAGTTCTAATAGTCATTGATATTTATAAAGTCTTTGGATATGATGTTAAGCATTTCATATGTACTACGTCATTTGATCATCACAATTATGTAGGCTATATTATTTGTCCCATTTTTCAGAAGACAAAATTGAGGCATTATAAACTTATCCAAAGTTATTTGAAGATAAATTCTCCTGGGTCTATTACATTTCTGCACATCTTAGAAACAAAGGTATTGGCTCTGTCTTTCAAGGTGTTTGTATAGTCAACAGCCTTGGGGAAAAGATAATGTCTTTTTCCAGAGCAAGAGCAGAATTACTATGCAATATAAGTAAGATAATATTGCCGAAACCAGTTTGGCTCAATGGATAGAGCGTCGGCTTGGGAACTGAAAGGTCCCGGGTTCGATTCCAGTCAAGGGCATGTACCTTGGTTGCGGGCATATCCCCAGTAGGGGGTGTGCAAGAGGCAGCTGATCGATGATTCTCTCTCATTGATGTTTCTAACTCTCTATCTCTCTCCCTTCCTCTCTGTACAAAATCAATAAAATATATTTTAAAAATAAATAAATAAATAAAATAATTAAGATAATATCACTCTCTGGAGCAGAGTTTAGGCAGGCTAACTCTCCATAATAAAAGATTTGGCTTCTCTACATTTGAGGTTCCTCTCCCATACACAAGCCCTGGGTAATCTCCATATAATGTTACTGAAGATTTTATCTCAAGCCAAGGCACCTGTTCACATATTTAAGACTGTTGTTTGTTTGTTTTCACTAGTCTTATAAGTTTATATATAAACTCCACAACATAGTAACTCCACAACATAGTTACTTAATACTTGTAATTGGTAAGAACCCCAGGAACAATTACTAAAATTTTAAATTTTTTTACTTCTTTGTTCACTAAGCCAGTTGTCAATTTTTTCTTTAATTTCATTGATTCTCTCTCCTACTATATTACATTTTCCTTTATTTTAGTGATAAAACTAGAAAAGTTATGTATAAACTTAACAAAATCTAAGTTTAACACCTTTAGATTCCTTGCAAATAAAATAAGGGCCTTGGAATACTTTAACTCTTGACACTACTCTCCTGGTATACATGTTACTTCTATTTGTTCTGTCTTTTTGTGTTACTGAAAGTTGGACATTATTATTACTATTATTAGTTGAAGTATACTTATATTTAACCACAGATTTACCAAACTTTCCCTTTTCATTCCTTTCAGCATCTTTTCCCTCCCATTCTGGGATTATTTTCTTACCTTTAAAATACAATACTTTAAAATATCCTTTAGCATTGGTGGTAAATGATTTGTTTTTGTTTTGTTTAAAAATATCTTTATTTTATGATAATTTTAAAAGGTAATTTAGCTGGGTATAAAATCTTAGGTTGACAGCTATTTTCTCTCAGAAGATATTCCCCTATCATGTGCAGTTGATGATGCTGTCAATCTAATTCTTTGTAGATTATACATAATTATTTTTGGTTTCTTTTAGAACCTCTTTAAGTCTATGGTGGGTAACTGTACTTTTCCATTTTCAATCAAAAGCTTAATGAATCTCTCTCTCTCTCTCTCTCTCTCTCTCTCTCTCTCTCTCTCTCTCTCACACACGTAAAGAACACAATAGATAGAGACAATATCATACCTTCATCTTTCATGACATATTGCAAACTGATACGGGAATTCATTTACAAGAGGAATGATCTACACTGTGTCATTCATTCATTGGCACAATAATTCATCACTTTGTGCGAGACTAAACTCCATTATGAGTATCCATATGACAATATAATCAATAGAATTTCTAATTAAATGTACAGAATAAGCAGGCAAATACATTTTGAAAGCAGGAAGTAAGAAGAAGCTGAAGTAGTAGGGAAATAAAAGATAATAAAAACCAATATTTTAATATCCTCTTTTTTCAGTCTCAGTGCAACAGATATCTTTTTTAAAAAATATCTGTTGTTATATTCTGCTCTTTCTGAAGTCCCCATCCTCCACACACACAAAAAAACAAAACACAAAACTAATTTGGCATTCACTACCTCGTTTCTGAATGCCAAAAGGGGGGAAAAAAAAACACACAGAATGACTAAGAAGCTAATGAGTCTGTACACCCTTGTGCAGCACTTTTCAGCTTGAAAGCACTTTATGGGACGTTGGCTAATTAATCTTTACAACATCCCACTCAGAAAGGGAGTTAAACTGAAAACCATTAAACAGTATGAAAAAGTCACTTTAGCCCTGGAAACTCATGAAAAGTATCACTAATAAGCATAAACTGTGAGCACTGGGACTTTCCATCAATGTCCTAAGAAAGACAGTAGTACCAAGCCTTTGTAAACTTATACACCACAGAGAAGGCTGTTAAAACCCCATGATCTGGTCTGGTCCAATTATATATCATTAAAGAACACTGGGGTTCTACACTAGAGATTCTCAGTGAGGGGCCTGGGGCCACCCCCTTTATGGACCCACTCCTGAAGGCAAAGCAGCTTGAAGAGCCACATCACTGTCAGCCAAATTAATGGGTTAGAGGAGGCTTTCCACCATCATGCAACATCTTCCTCTGTGCAGTTCCTGAGATGTGGCTCTGTGTCTCTTCTGCCCTCAGGCGTTAACTATTAGGCAAAGCTTCACTGATCTGGGTCCCACTGGTGATGTTTTAAGATAGTTGTAAAACAAATGCTAAAAAAATATATTCAAGTAGAGTAAACTTATCTTCACATATAAAACATCTCCCACATCTTTTAGAAATAGACTATTAAAAACAGTTTTAAAAATTAGTTGGAAGTTTTTCAGACTCCAGAGGAATTTCTGCTTCTAGAGTAGAGTTTGGTTCATTGCAATTTTGTGTCTATGCAAAGTCAGTAAAAACAATAGGTCAGGTTCTATTTTAAAAATCAGTATTTTACAAGAATCTTGTCAGCTCACACCAAAGTATATGCTCTCGGCTAAAACATGCCTGTTTCTAATTGTGCTGTGCCCTTTTGAAGAAAACAGTCTCCCAAAAATACACTCAGGCATAAAGTACCAAATTTGTTTTAAAAAAACAACACATTGGAATGCAATAGAAAATACGATGACATACTTTTAAAAATTGTCACTCTAAGAATTAACACTCTGAAGAGAATGGGGAGAGTTCCTTTACAACAGCTGAGGGAGAATAAGAAGACAAAGGAGGAGAAGCTCAATCACCTTCCACTTCCCTTCTTAGGAGAGGGCGATAGCTAAGTGTTTCTGCTTCTGCCCCTGGGTATTAAAGCAGAGTCCTCAGAGGAATTGGAATGAACATCCTTCCATTATTCTCACCTTTCTCTTTGAAGCTAGTATTGGCTAAAATATCCCCAGGAAGCCAAGCTTACTCAAAGATAGAAAGGCTGAAGAAGTAGCCTTGCAAGTAACAAGTAGTCTTAAAGCATCAGAACCTACCCCCTGTGACTTTTTAGAGGCTCTATTTGGCTGAGAACTTAAGTCATGCATGGACTAGTCCAGTGGCTCTCGAGCCGCGGTTTGCCTTTCTGTTGACTAATGAGTTTGCCGACCACTGACCTAGACTCTCGATTCCACTAATTACAGGCTGTTGTCATTCCTTGTGATCAATCCCCTATCCCAGTGGTCGGCAAACTCATTAGTCAACAGAGCAGCAAAACCACAGTTTGCGAGCCGCATGTGGCTCATGAGCCACAGTTTGCCAACCACTGAACTAGTCATAACGTCCAATAACTTTATTTCTGTTTGGTCCTGTCCCCTGAGATTTTAGAAAAATAACCCTCTCATATCCAGAGGCAATTCTAAATTCCCACCTCTTTATTCAGACACTCAACTGAAGGGAAACCTTGAAAGAATCCATTTCAGGAGCTAGGTCCTAAGATAATACGTTTTTTGTTTTTTCTCACCATAGCTTTCAACAATAATAAACCCACTACCCATTTGCCATGAAATTTTTAATAATCTATAAGGAACATAAAAAAGATTTTTAAAATGGAGAAACAGGCCATATTTACAATATAAATAAAAGGACTCAACAATAAAAAGAGATCAATTGTCCCTTAATATTAATCCATAAATTTTATTATACTAAAAACTGGAATGTTTGGAATTTGAAAAATAAAAACCATTCTAACATTCAAATCAGTACCTAACTAAAGCTCATACTACAGAAATGCTATCAAGTAGAGTTCTGAACTACAAATAATAATACTATTTGTTTGGTCTTAAAAGACAAACATATTCCTTACTGGTATCTCTGGCAGACTAACTCTACCAAGTAAGATTAATTTCATGACTGTTCTACTCTTTATCAATTGACCATGAAAAAGAGTTAGACGTGGCTGTCAGTTCAAGGAATTAATAAGATCCAATGTCAGGGACAGAGAATGAACTCCTTGATGCCAGAGTCAATATTTTGTTCATTTCCCTGCCCCTCTGAAACAGGACACAATAACTGACACAAAATTTTCTCAAGAAATATTTCTTGAATATATGTGACTTTATGGTATAATCTGTAACTTCAAGGTCTATCTGCTGTTAAGCTTTCTTTTAGGCACTATCCTTTACCAAGAACACTATCCTTTACATAGTGCCAGTCTTCTCATGCACACACAGCAACCAGGAAGCTGAGGGGACAGAGGTGGGATGGAGTGGACAAAGGAGCAACTTTTAGATTATACCAACTTTTCTTGCTTTGAGGAGGAATACGGGAGCCGCAACAATTTTCTCTGGATCTATATTAATTTACACGTTTAATGAAGATAATAGAAACCAAACAAACACCCTCTCTGGTTTGGGGACTACATTTAGAGAGACCATTCTTTAGCTCGCCAAGAGTTTTGATTAACTGGGCAAAATATTCAGCAACACTGAGAGGTCAGTAAAATAAAAAGTAAATGAACACTTAGTAAATGCACTAACCTTGAGAAATGAAAATGATATACTTTAAATAATCTCATCTTATTTTTTAAATATATTTTTATTGATTTCAGAGAGGAAGAGAAAGGAAGAGATAGAAACACCAATGACGAGAGAGAATCATCGATTGGCTGCCTCCTGCACGCCCCCTACTGTAAATTGAGCTCAAAACCCAGGCATGTACCCTTGACAGGAATGGGACCTAGGACCCTTCAGTAGCAGACCAATGCTCTATCCACTGAGACAAACAGGCTAGGGCTAAACTTATCTTAAAGACTGCATCAGTATCTGAAAGTTGCTATGGTGAATTGGAAGCTTCCTCTGTACAAGAACAAGACTTGTTTCAGTTCCTAGTTCCTATGAAGTGGCTTCTGTGATTTGAATTCTCTTTCTTTTAACATCTGTATACTTGACACTTTCTTGGATTTATTTTCCACCGTCACAATTATATGACTTTAGGAGGTTGTGTGGGGATGGATGTGGGGGTAAGAAGGAGAGCTAACTTTAAGGTAGAATAAATTCTATTTAGAATTTTATAAAGCTTTCCACCCCACAATCTGACATCAAACTCCCAGCACAGAAATCACAGGGCAGAGTGTTATTTTTCTTCCAGTCTGTTTCTATGTGGAAATTTAAAGACAGCAATAAGATATATAAATAGGTAACTGCTAGTTAAACAATATTCCAACTTTTGTACAAGTTATTAACTTAATAGAACGAAGTTCCAGGATAAATCCTATATACTAAAAGGCTAATATGCAAATTGTCCCCTTGACCAGGAGTTCGACCACGGGTTCAGGCCCGGCCGACAGACTACAGCCCTTCCCCCCAAAATGGCCCAGCCCAATCCAGGCGGGCTGGCTGGATCTCATCCATGCACAAATTCATGTACCGTGCTGATAGTATAATTATAACGAATAAAATACACTCCATGACAAGAAATAGGAATGAATCACCATTTACAAGTATGAGAGAATAAAGGTGGGCTTTTCATTTTGTCAACCAACCACCATATGTATTTGTAATTTGGCAGTTAATACTTTAGATTTCTCTTTTCTCAGTTTGAAGCTTATTCTTTGAGGTCTAAATTGGTTCATTAACTAAGTACAATTTAACAGCTATATTATAATATTATATATTTGTGCTGCAAGTCATAAAATGACTAGTATTTCTGAAGCTACATTTTTCTGATAAATTTGAGATGTACTTAAAGGTACATTTATTCTTTAAATAAGTTTCTCACTGCATGCAGCTAACAGCCCATACATGCTTATAGAGTGGAAGGCCTGAATTTGCATTCAAGGAGACAGCAAAGCGAGTATTAGCAATGTCTACCTTGCAGGAAATCAACAGCCATATCCAATGCCTGGGTAAGTAGTCAATGAACTAAAACTAGATCAGGAAAGACAAAAATATAGTCTTGGTATGAGTCCCAGTATCTATATGAGGAAGCTCAGGTAAAAAGCAATCAGAGTTAAAAATAGAATACTGAATAATTACCAAATTCTGCGGCCCAATACTTCCTTTCCCTGAAAATGACATGGAGAGAAGAATTGAAAGGAAATCTCATCTCACAAGTATTTATAAGGAAGCAGCCATATGTACATCAACTAATACAAAGTCCAGGGTCATTTTTGGAGCCCTGAATTAGACAAAAATGTTGGTTCCTCTGATCACTTGACTTGAATCCCAAAGAGGATCCATGAAACAACTGGAACCTTGTAATGATCCACAGAGGATTGTGGGTAACTTAGAGTCATAATTGGCCTCCGAACCTTAATTGGAAAAGCCATAGATGTTTCACATCAAGAAGAGCCCTGCACTATAGCTTCCCAGCCAATCTCACTCCCCTCAGAACTCATACTCAGTCATCCCTACACTTTTCACCATTAGGAACACCTCTTATTCATTTTTTCTGCTTTTAAAATCCTCATGTTTCTCTAAATTTACTACTATTGAATAATAATTTGTTTCTCATTTTTTATTCATCAGAGACATATATAAATTCCAATCAGGCATACTGATAAGAACACTGGTAAAATTTCCCTAAAAGACATTTTAAAAACCTTGTTTTATTTAATCTGTTTAGATTAGTCCTGGTTAAGAATATTGTCTCTGGCCGAAACCGGTTTGGCTTAGTGGTAGAGCATCGGTCTGCTGACTGAAAGGTCCCAGGTTTGATTCCGGTCAAGGTTCGATTCCGGTCAAGGGCATGTACCTTGGTTGTGGGCATATCCCCGGAAGGGGGTGTGCAAGAGGCAACTGGTCGATGCTTCTCTCTCATCGATGTTTCTAGCTCTCTATCTCTCTCCCTTCCTCTCTGTAAAAAATCAATTTTATATATATATATATATATATATATATATATATATATATATATATATTTTTTTTTTTTTTTTTTTTTTTTTTTTAAAGAATATTGTCGCCGAAGCCGAAACCGGTTTGGCTCAATGGATAGAGCGTCGGCTTGGGGACTGAAAGGTCCCGGGTTCGATTCCGGTCAAGGGCATGTTACCTTGGTTGCGGGCATATCCCCAGTAGGGGGTGTGCAAGAGGCAGCTGGTCGATGACTCTCTCTCATCGATGTTTCTAACTCTCTATCTCTCTCCCTTCCTCTCCGTACAAAATCAATAAAATATATTTTTTTTTAAAAAAAAAAAGAGTATTGTCTCTGTTAGTTTTGTAAAATTATTTAAATTATTCATGGATTCTGCCTCTTACCAACCACCTATTAACACTCCAATTCTTACCACCATTGCTGCCTTCTCAGACTTCAAGGGGTCAGGAGTCTCTTTATTAGGAATCACTGGGTTAAAATAGTTACAGATCTGCTTAGGTCCAGAAAATCAGAATAGTTCAGCCATGACATCATTTTACTATGCTTACCTGGGTACAAAAATTTCAAGGTAGTGTTTTTTCTTTTGGTGTGATGATTGATTTCAAACTGGCATCTAAGCCCATGGAAGTGCAAGGTTGTATGTGCTCAGAGTCATGACACAACTAATCTCAGGCAATACCCAACAGAGTGCATGAACTGACTCTCTTCCATTCATTCCTACCAGCCTGAGGCCACATCCTAGAATCCTTGGGGGAAGAGCAACAAAGGCAGATCTTTCTGGGGCTGGCTGCTCAGGGGTATGCTGAGAGAATGAACTTGAGATTTGGAGCCAGAAGGTATGTGTTTGAGTCCTGACCGTGACCATAACACCTACCAGAAATACATGGCTTTGAGTTAAGATAATTAACATTGGCCAAAAGGAATAGTAAGTATCTCAACCCTACCTCCCTATTTTTTTTTTATGGATCATTCTTTTTTTATGTTTATGAATTTTTATTTTCATTTATTTTTTAATGTTTGAAGTATTACAAATAATGGTACATATGTCTCCTTTTTTATCCTCCCATTCACCTCCCCCCAGCCTCCCCTACTCCCCAGTACATGCCCTTACCTGTCCCGTCCCCCCCTCCCCCCCGCCAGTGTCTTGTATCTATTGGTTATGCTTATATGCATGCATACAAATCCTTCGGTTGATCTCTTACAGCGTGTCTCCCCCCCCCCCCCCCCCGCCCCCAACATCCCCTGCTTTCCAGCAGATGTCAGAACAAAATGCCTAATCAGCTATTAATCTTCTCTGTTTGGTGTCTTAGACACAAAATCACTTGTCATACTTTGTCTCATCTTTACATAATTTTGCTTTATTTTCTCCTGACACTCTTTGGGCAATTCGGTTTCTTATGTAGATATCTATGTATTTGTAGTAACCTACTTTAATTGGGTTTCATAGAAAAAGATGAATGAGATATCATTTGAGGAGTGTAAGATGTCAACAGAGAGAAAAAGGACCCATGCATGGTTCACTAGGCAGATTAAAGTTTAAAAAATTATCAGTGAATCTGAAGCCATTATAATGTTCTTCTACTATTTTTTCCCTTGCTGTCCCAGAATGTACTGCTAGTGTTTTCTATGCGTGGTCCATTTTGAGTTGGGTTGTATTTTGGCATCTGCGTGACAATGTCAGAGTCACAAGCCCATCGTTTCACACTGGGTTAGTGACACTTGGATCTATTTTTCATTCAGTTCCTAGAAAAAACTGTCACTCTTCCCCAGTGATTTGAGGCTATGGTCAGAAAGGCATCCTGGTGCCCCTGATGCAGTTTAAACAGAGCACTGTGTAACTCACTCCTTAATCATGTCGCTGCTCACAGGTCTCCCGACGTGAAAGCATGCTGCGAAGGACAGGTTTCTAAGGATCCTGCCTATCACAGGCGTTCTACCATTGAGAGGTGAATATTTGAAAAGTGCCTTGGATTGGAAATGTATTTATTTATTCCCAGGTTTTAACAATTAAGGAACACTTTTATTCAATTATTTCATATGGTGAATGCCACTGAGACATTCCTGGGAGCTGCAATTCTCTGAGAATTTGAGTTTCTAGGACTGTTCAGGCTAATTTCCATCCCAATTAGTATCTTAAGAGCTGTCACAAATTGTAGCTTCAACCAGGAAAAAAAATTCGGATGCCAAAGCACATCTAAAAGAAGAGCCACTTTAGTACAGAGCCTCCTTTGAAGGTCCCTACAATTAAGCAATCCTGTGGAAAGATTAAAAGCATAAGTACAATTTACATGCATTTTCCATTTCAAGCAGAAAGTCACTTTGTGTATATATTTACAAGAAGACAACTAAGAAATCCCTTAGCTGGAAAGAGGTTAAGACAAGTTAATATCATATAAGTTGGATTAGATTCTTCTGAATATTTATTTTCTCCATGCTGAGAAAACAGAAGCATTCATAGTCAGAAAATAATCAGTTCCAATTTTTTCATTAATGCTGAGTACAAAATGTTACTTCGAAAAAATCTTCAGATTTAAATTGTTCTATAATTCCATTTTCCATTTCCCATTCTCCAAAATGATGTTAAAGCTAATTTATCATTCTCAGGCATGAATTCTCATAATCTTGGGGAGAAGGGAAGGAATGTGATTAAAGGAACTCTTGGTGAATCTATTCCAGAAGTGGACAGGGGTGAACATAAATCCTACCGATTCACATGGAAATTCCCAAAAGAGTGAGAAGGTGAGTGCTCAGATGGCCAGAAATCTCCTTCAGAGAAGGAAAATATACAGCAAACTCTGAGTTTATTTTTCAGAGGACTGGCTGCAAAACCTAATCATGCTAGAAACCATTGAAGTACAAAATGGAAAAATGTGAATATGTAATTCCACTTCAGCCTGTGAATGTGTCTTAGGGGAAAGCTTTGTAAATGGGAACTTTCTCACAGGATTTTGCTTCCTTTATTTGATTAAAGGCGCACTCAAAGTAACTGCAAATTGCTTTCTTCTGTGTGCTCTCTCCTTGTTCTCATTGAAACCCTGAGTCCTACAGGTAGGTGTTCTGAGGCTCGCAGAATGTCAGAAGCTGTTCACTGTATAGCTACAGTATTAGCCAAATGTGTGTAAATGAGGGAAAAACAAATCTTACAATTAAATTATTTCATTTTAGCACAATTACTCATTTCCATCATTTCAACAGCATATCAAGTGTTAAAAAGTCACTCAATATAAAAGCCAGAGAGCTTTTCTGAGACAGACTGGTCATTTGAGCAGCAGAAAAGAAACTGGAAAATTCAATAGTTCTTAGAATCAGTTCCACATCCGAACAAATTTTTTTATACATCTGCCTCTGTTTGACATGATTAAGGAAGATAGTACAGCAGGGCCTGTACACAATGACTTTCCAATAGCCAAAGGGACTTCATAGTCCAAAAGAAACAAAATCAAGTTCCTTAGATAATGACAGACACATCATTCCCCAAGAAAGCCATCCTGGAATTTATCGAACACATTGCTGTGTACAAACAGTTTGTAACCTTGACTAAAACATTAAAATCACCCAAGGAAAGTTCAAACAACCCAAAAAACAAAACAAAACCCAGTAAGCCTGATCCTTACCCCAGGAGGTCTGAGACTAATACAATCGGTCTGGTATGGGATGGTTCTAATAGGCAGACAGAGTTGAGGAGTACTGTGCTAGGGCCTCAAAAATAAAAAAAGATAAGAGTGAAGTACAAATCTCGTGTTATGGAGAAGCACGTCTTCTTTAATTATCCCAGAGCATGCAGGACCTATGGGAACTAAACTGGCAATTTTCTACTAACCTAACCTGCTGGAACCAATGGAGCACAACTCAGTTTTGAGGAACTAGAAAGCTCCTCATCTCTGTGATCAGCTATCTTGTCAGTCTGATTCTTTTTATTGAAACAATAGAAAAGGTTTAATTATAGAATTATAAAAGTTATCCTATTCTGTCTTCCCATCTTTCAAGGCAGAACATGGTATTTATGCTCTTAGTTTGGAATGGCTAACCTTTTTTGGTGAGAATTTAA